AATGCATATAAAGAACTCGGTGCTCGACTGTTGAGATAGGTCAACTTTATTTACTTTTGTTACATTCACAACCCACCCAACACTGAAAAACAGCGTGGATAGTCAGACCAAGATGATCCGCAAAGACCAAATTACAGATCCATCGTCCTACATCTCATTATTCAAGTTTGCTTGTTTTAAAATACAAAACCCTAAAAAAAACTTAAAAATTAAAATACATTCAATACTACTTTAACACCTTTGCACCAAGTAATATTGAATAATTTTATTCACTAATATTAATTATCGAACACGCAAATTAGGATCCTCATTTCTGAATTAGCATATCAAGACACGGGTATCGCTTCATAATTAAAATGCGACAACGCAGTCTGCGTCTGTGTTTACCCGACATAGAAATTCTATTTTATTAAGAGTCAATTACGGAAATGAAGTAATTGAAATAAATATTTCATGAAGGCTGAAGGTTGTTTTTCCAATAATGTTTTATTTCTTTAACCATTTCACCAAAATTAATTTTCATTGTCATTCAAACTGATATTACAAATAATTCAGGTGTAAAGCTTTTTTCAGGCAAATGGCCCAATATTTTTGTCAAATATATTATTTATCATAATAATACTCAAAGTCATATTACTGTTTTTACTTTTCTATTTTGATAAAATAAAGCAAATCGAAGTATGTTAAAAGGTTAATGGTTAAGGGGTTTGGCACAACGACTCATGCTGTAAAGAGCCCGGGATCGAACCCAACATACTCATGTGCTTTTCCTCAGAAACACTATAGTCCCGCGGTTCATACTTCATAGCCTCGTAGTTGAAATACCCCCAGAAAAAGTATGTTTTAGCTGCTTCTAAGATCATATGATACAAAAAGGGTATGGAGTAATAAAATAGTAATAATATAATAATAAATAATAAAAGTTAATAAAAATAAATAATAAAAGTAAAATAAAAGTGAAAAAATAAAAATAATAAAAGGAGTGTGGGCTGTATGAAAGCAATAGGTTCCCATTGATTAAGAGCATTCTGACTAGTGGAGGGACATGGCCAGAGGATGAAAACAGGTTAATCTGCCAATCCAAAAAAGACTTTCTGAGTTTCGTTGAATCATTGAATATCAGTAAACTCTGAAAAATTATACTTATCATTAATTGTATGATAAGTAATTAATTTATTGCATCTAGTGTAAATAAAATTACTTAATCTTGAACACTATAGTTAAATGTAAAGAACAAAAGAAAATATTAATGTGACACAAGTCTAAGTTAGAAAAACCTGTAATCATAACGGGAATGGGTTAAAAGAATAAAAAAATAAAGTGCAGTACAAAAATGAATATTGCTGATCTGAAAGATTGATGATTAATATTTCCTCGTTGGCAACAATCAATTTAATTGAATCCCCCTCACTACAACTATAATAAAAAAGGCTTACCGGGCGTCATGTTTTTTTAAGTTTGAACTAATATATTAATAATAATAAACCAGGAGTAAGGTCTGACTACTTCACACAGAAATTATTCTTCGTGACATCACTATCATCATAATCCTAACTTAACTTTCTGAAAGAAGCCTGCATCAGCAAATAGAATTTATTTTTTCACCTCTACATTAATTCAAAATCTGGCAAATAACAGTCAACCCACCATTTTATAGAGTTTTCGTAATCATCACCATCATTAATCGGGTGTGGCCTTTCATGTTGCTCTAGCCAAGAACTTCTCTTCCACACCTTTCTATATTGTGTTTAGTGTTTTTAGATTTATTTTCTAAGAATACACGATTCAGTTTTCATTATGGTAAACAATGATTTTATTTTTCATTTAACCCTGTTGAAGAAAAAAAATTATTTTCAAACTGTCCCACTGACCCAAATTAATATCAACACATCAACAGTATTTTAAAATAGTTATTATTGAATGTTTTTAATCTAATTTAAACAAATATTTCTTTATGAAATAGATAAATTAATAGTAAAGAGAGCTCATGTCAAAAAAGCACGCTGAAACGTTTATCACCATATAGAAAAAAATGTGCCAAAGAGGCTCTGGAGCAGTTTCCCAAAATTTTTATCCAGCGGACCCCTTTCACAGAATAAAATCCAGGGCGGACCCCTCGCATTCAAGCGTTTAAAATCGTTTTATAAATTAACCAATCCATTCCTAATTAGGTGATGGAGAGGGATATCACTAAGAAAATAAACATTAGATTGACATACTTAACTTATTTACAAAATCCGGAAGAGAAAAATCAAATTGGACTGAGAGGGATCGATAGGTCTTTAAAACTGGAGTAAATTTCAAAAGTAATTATTTGAACCTTAATGATTAATGAATTAATAGGAAGAATTAGGTTGTTTTAGCCTGCACAATTTGAATATGTTGGGTTTAGATTTTGATAGCTGGAGAAGGATGTCGAATTCAGCAAGTTGACAGCTTCGGTACTTAGTTATGTTAGCTGTATAGATAGACAATCTGGATTCGCATAGGTAAGTTGTGGTAAATGGAAGGAGAACAACGAGCGGTTGCAATTTTTTATTTTCCAATCGGTTCCAAAAATTGAGTATCAGACTCGAAAGGTTTTAGGTTTTAATATGGAGTCTGATCGAGTCTAACAAAAACATTCGCATTCGATTGAAGACAGACTGGTTGGCTTTGTCGACATTGAAAACGGTTTGACCACCATGTTCTTGCCTCATGCATCTCGAGCTGTTGGGGAGAAGTTGTCAAAGGACATCTCCTAACTTCGAAGGTGTTAACATATTTCACCAATCAACGTGCTTTCGCAAGCTCCAGTTTATTTTCTTCTAAAAACTCATTTAACGCAGGAAAACACTCCACCACTTCCATCTCAATAGATTCAACTCAAAACATGATTTTTCTTTAGAAGGCGTGAACTTTGTCATTAGCAGGTTTGTTAGCATTTTTCCCATGCAAAGAAACATCTCATTCATTTTAATGAAAATATAAATACTACAGTTCACATTTATCATCATTCAAAACCAATTTGAAATTGTGGTCCATCAACAGAGATAAGACTTCAGAACGTAATTATGAAAATGCTTTGGCGCAAGACAGCCACCTGACTTCTGCATGGTGAAGCGGGGAATGATGAAACTTTCCCATATCGACACATAATATTGTGAAAAGTCTTGACTTCAATGGCCCAAACTTGATATAATTAATACTTTGAATAGACTCATCCAAAACTTTTTTCAAAGAGGCTGGCAAGTGTTTCATAACTAAAGCATGTCGGTGGAGACAATGACAGCTGCAAAATTCGTTCGTTTTCAGTACTCATTGTAATTACTTTTTAATTTTATGATTCATTCTTCGTTTATTTTTATAATTATTATTTTTTCCCGAAGTTCGCCCCGGAACCCCTAGTCAGCGGACCATATTTAGGAAGACCCGCTCTAGAGCAACAAGAACGGTAGTACAGTTCTCAAAATAGGCCATAGCGATTGATGATGATGTTGGTGAGGAAGGACGAAGTCGGGATTTAGTATTCCCCAAGCACTCCAGCCTTGTGGTTGAAGTGGACAGTCGTTGATTGTTATTGCTGCAATTCTTTTTCCCTGGTCTTCATTGTTTGTTTGAAAATAATATGGGGAATATCAGCAGTATCTTCCTCCCCATTACACAACCTACAAATATTTTTAAACTAATTTAAAAGATTTTTTTTATATATAAAAATGTAATAATACTGAAGAGGAGGGGGCGCCGCAACGGTTTAGCGCTCATCACTGTAAGGTAAAGGTCCCGGGTTCGAATCCAGTGGCCCTGCATTCGAATTCGACATGGGAACTTACGAATGGGCTTTTTTCAAAAACACCAGCACCCTGAGGGTATGGCCTCTGCTGTTGCGAAAAAAATACTAAAGAGGGTTCATGATGAACGAAAACGTTGGGAATAAAATATACTTCTCTCCAAGACCATGATTTACATTGTACCGGAATAGTACAAACAATGATTCCATTTTTCATCTAATCTGGAGATCCTTTTTCTAACCATTGAAGAATATCAAGAGCTGAAGAATAGGACGTGTTTGTAAAACAACCTTATCAATCTGGCACCCTGACCGAAATTATGAGTATAAACTATTGTACTTCTAAACTGGTTTTTAGTGTAATTCGTAGTTTTTTTGGGTCTGAAATAATTGAATAAAAATAAACTATTCTATTAACGATCCTGAAACATGATTTTAACAAATTGTATGAATGTTTTACACTTAATAATTTCCTGTGATTTTGAGATCAAAACCGAATATATAAAAAAATGTATTGACCTTTTCAGTTCGGTCAAGGTGCAATCTTAAGGGCGGGTTTTTTTAGGGTAAAGAAACCTTCAGTAATCAATTTCGCTTTTTTTGTCGGAAAGGCAATTAGTGCTGGTTGAATTGTTTTAATGGGAGCTACTGGGCAGGAGTCCACAAAATGTAATTATAATCCTTCTGAGATAAAGGAGGCAGGCCAAGAACACAGGTAGCCGTGGCGGAATCCAGAGCCCTATAATTTGTAGTTTGGGACAATGGTTGACTTGATAATGGAAAGCCTTCAACCTTAGACCTCCAGTAATTATTTAATTTCAGCTCATTTTATTTTATTTTATTGTATTTTATTTTTTTTTTTTTTAATGAACGCTACATCACTCCTTCCCGGATATTTCATGACTTTCACTTAAAAATGTTTCTTCGTATTATTCATCCTATAAAAAACTACTTTTGGGTTGACTAATTGAAAGTTTTGCATTAAAGAAAGTACCCAAAATAAGTCAATTCCATCCAGTAGCTTATACTGAAAAAATTTGTTAACTTAAATGTAAAACCATTCAGCATAGAATAAAAACTATTTATACTATAGATTAATGACACTTTAATTAGCATAATGACTGTTTCTAATCATTATAAAGCCAACTACGATTTTAGTTTTATTCGATTTGAACTGTTTTTCTTGTACATTTCATAAGAAATAATAAATCGTCTGTTTGTCTTTTTCCAGCTATGATTCGGCAACTCGAACAGATGAAAAAGGAAAGGTGCAAGTCCAAAGGGATCAAAAACGGGCCAAGTCCGGACAAGCAAGTTCAGGAAAGTTACGAATGTGTCGCTGTCCATGTCAGCCCGGATCTCGGAGAAAGGATAATGCTCTCTGGGGACAGATCACTACTCGACGAAGTAAGAACACTAAACCTTACACAATTAATTATTCATTTTTTATTGAAAATATTCCACATTAAATTACCTATAAAATTCGCTTTCTTCAGATGTTAAAAGGTAAAGTATTTCATTCCGCACATAAAACCTGTAATTCGTGGATAACTTGGTCGTTAGAAAAACTGTATTATATCTATTGTCAATTATTGACTGTTCTTAAAATCTTTTGTTTTGCTCTGGGGGCAGGGTGGATGTAAGCATTTCTAGAACTTAAGAGTTGTTCTAACAATATAGAACGATGGACTTTATTCTAAGCTTTATACCCAAAAACTGGTAAAAGTACATTTATTGCTACAACTCAATCTGAACATCATTCTCGTTTGACACCAGGACAAATGTACATAATAATGTAAGGCGTGAGTGTGTTGCCTCGCCCTGGTTATAACCCTGTTGTCACATAACAAGACACCTTCCGGCAATTAGTTCAGTGAAATTGGATAAACTGTTGCTATGAAAAAGAAAAAGTTAACAAACTTAAATACTAGCTGAAAATTAGGTAAGTTTTGAAAATGGCAGATTCTATTTATTAAAATTTTTCTTATAAATTATTCAACAAAACTTTTTTAAAATGCTTTTACTCTACTATGAGCATGTAGATGTATCGGGTTGTCCGGAAAATAATGCAGGATTTTAAGTTTTCATTAAAAAAAATCTATATAAAATATTCTGTTTACGTTTACAGGATTACTCATTTGTATGAATGTCAACACTTATTAATCCTCTTCCAAATGATATTGTTTGTTTACCTCTGTAGCATTCCGCTACTTGGAAAT